CGTCGGCCGCCCTGGGCTCCTCCCGCCCCTACCCACCCCACGGAGCCCCTTGTCGCCCTCGGCCACGGCCACCCTCTCGGTGGCCGCCCCTCAACCCCCTAGCTTTTGTTTTCCCGTCTCCCTCGTCCAGGTATCCTCCGGATGCGCCGTCGCCGGCGAACGAAGCAAAGGCAGGAGACGGGCAAGGCCGGGGGGTTGAGAGGGGGCAGAGGAGGAGGGGCTCACTCACGAGATGACGAAGTCTTACGACGCGCAAGTCCCTCTCACCTCGCGCACACGCTCGCCGCCGGCTCAGCGCGGCGGGGGCGGGGGAGGGGGCGTCATAAACCTTATTCCGGGAGTGACTCTCTTCCATCCCACCACTCCGTTTCTCCTGGAAAGTTTACGCGTCGAGTTGACATTTCACTCCGTGCGCCTCTCTGGTGCGGACCGTTAGCAGAGGGGTGGAGTGCTCGGCTCGGGGTTGGATCAGGCGCAATCGGAAAAGTGTAAAGGCGCAGTACATTGGTGACACACCCCCACGGCCAGTGTAGCGGCCAACGCGTGCCGCAGCTGTGGTGGGACCTTTACGAAAAAGGCACAACATGACACACATGTTCTTTGGACCGCGTTGCCTGACAGGTCCTGTGAGATTTAGTACTCATCCTGAACCGCATGCAGGCAGGTCCTAGTGGCATCGTCTGCTCTAACCAACCATGGTAGTGCCTTTGCCTAGTAGGCAACCCCCACTCCGTGGACAATCAAAACTACTAAATACCACGGGGCATTTCAGCGACTTAGTAACGCACACGGCATGAATTTGAAGTAACAACCACTGCGTTCTTTGTCGATTAAACTATTCGTTTATCGCTTGACAGATGAGGTGAAGGTGGAGACAAGTGAAGCATCTATGGCCCCTCCTGACCTGTCACAGCTACCCCTAGGTACCTCGCTCGGCCAGCCCATCCAGCATAGCGTGAGGTGGGATGGGATGAAGGTGGGGGGGGGGGGTAGAATGCATTCATTTCAACTCGTCCGGCCTGCTCGCCCGCCTGCTGGCCTCTGCCACCGCCCGCAACCCCCCACCCCGCCTCTTGCTGATTTCTACCCCTGGGACACAAAAAAGGAACTAAAAAAAAATCAGAGGGGGGCATAGCCGAAAGGACCTCTGTGCCCGTGCCGTACCGCCCGCCCGGATAAAAATGAGGGGCATTCGTCTTTTCGTCACACAGAGGAGCACAGCTTTACGCGGCCGCGGCCGGGCTGGCTGAGTGAAACGCGAAAAATGTGCGACAGTGAGGCGCGCCCTCGTCCTCTTGAAACACTCCTCCTCCTCCCCCCTTCCGCCGCCTTTCTCCCACCGTGAACCCCACCCCATCCCCATTTCCTCCCTTCGCCTTCTCTTCTGGTTGACGTTAGATCCCCGCAACTGTCGGTTGTTAAAATACAAAAATGAAAATGACATACTTATGCAGCTTTCCCGTGAGGCACCCGCACCTTATTGGCATGTAGATTGAAATAAACTCACGTACGTTAAACACGGCTGAGCTTTGCATTTATATTGGTTTATTTCGAAAAGGTAGAGATGGCCCTTGTGACAGTGCGGGCAACTCGAACGCCACACAATGATAACTGCAGTGAAATGACAGAAAACGGCCGCTGTGGCACTGTTTGAAACGGGAAATGGAAGCTGAGAATAATGTTGATGGTGCTGTTTATCCCCTCCCCCACTCTCTCCGAGTCCAAAAAGAGAATTTTTGACGGGGCCCTTTCCATTTCGGGGAGAAGTTTGGTGTTGATCCTCCCTAATCTGGGTTGGCCATCTCGAAGGTCGCCTGCGTCTTCCAGGTTGTCGCCGCTCTCAGCACTTCCCTCCGGAGCTGCCAGAGGCGCCGGGCCCCGGGGCGGCTGGGGCTGGGACCCTCTGCAGGACGCTGGATTATTGCGGGCGGACTGGACCTGGATTTGCCCCTGATTAGCTGGGTCCCGGTCTCGCCTATTTCGCCTTTCACAGCTGCTCGCCGCGAGGCGCTCAGAGCGGAATGGACGGATCAAATATTTGCTCGTCTCCTCTAATGGGTCCAAGTGGGGCGCCCCCCGATGACCTGTCGGCGCGCCGGAACTTGCCGCCCGGTGTTCAATTCCTCAACTCAATAAATAGCGATCCGGTGGTGCAATCGTTGCCATGGCGTTCGCTGAAGAGCCCCGGACGCCAGCCCAACTTGTCAGCTAATCCCTGCCGGCGCCGACACTTCAGCGCCGCACGCCAGCTGCCGCCGCCCCGACGGCACGCCGCGCTGCCACAGCCGGGAATCTGGGTAAAGTGGTCTGGGAACTCGGTGTCACTCGCCCTTTGTAAGTGTATGGGTGTGGTGGAGCACACACAAAAAACGAGCAGCGGTCCGAACTAACAAATTGTATGGAGTAGTACTGTCCGTCAGTTCAACCAACCCTATCATGTAGCACCGCCTCAACTAGCAGCGACATCTCCTTTCTTTTACGACGCGTTCTTCTTCATCTCATTAAGCCTTTCTAACAAGTAACTCTTGGCTGTTACAACTACTTAGTGATCATATCAAAATTCGATCGACTTTTATTAAGTTTTTATTAGTTCTGACGACTGACGACCATGGAAAATAATTTCTAGAGCAGATCCGACTCCGCCTGACCACTAGGGCCACTACGTTTCCAGCGCATCCCCCCCCCCTTCCCCTGACTGTCGCGCGTCCTCGCGGCCTGCTTGCTGCCGTGCCGGCGACCTGGCCGCGGATGCGCATGCCTGCGTCACTTACTATTTATCTGGCCGAGTCATCCGAGGGGCGGATAACTCCCCTGCCAAATTTACACCCATAATTCTGCCCAATTCGCATAAACTAATTCAGACCATTCAATTTAATTCAAACGATTTCAACAATAAGTCAGCTTATTCCAGTCTAATTCAAGCCAATTCTAGTCAATTCATGCTAATTGAGAGAAATAAAATCGCAATAATTCAAACCAATTCAAAAACAATTCAACCAATTCGGTTCGATTCAAGCCAATTCAAGCTAATTCAAATTCAATTCTTGAAATTTGTCCACCCAATTCAGGAGTTATCCACCCCTCGGAGCCATCCATCCGGGCCTTCCTTCGGGAGCCGCCCTTTCCTTGCCGCCACGCGCCGTGCCTCGCCCCGTGGTCAAGTGGCGTCTCGTTTGCATCGGCACGGCCGCGCAGAATAAGGGTTCCGCTGAATCCTAAAACGCGACACAATAAGACTTCTTCCTTGAGACGAGGAGTAGTGTGACTGCTGCGACCGAGCCTTTCCAATTGCCGCCCGACTCTTTTTCCCACTTCGGACCTGGGCGTGGGCGTGCGGGTGGAGGTGGTGGGGGTGCTGCTCGGTTCTCCTGTTGTTTGCTCCGGAGTAAGGGGGGGGGGGGTACCATTCAACCCCGGTCGAGTTGAGAAGGCGAGGCACCCCGAGGCGCCCCGACGACGGTGTTCCATATCTTTCGTGACGTCTGCCTCGTATACCTCCGCCCTGTCCGCCCCGGCCCGCCGCGGTGGTACCCTTTTCCGGGGCCGTTCGTCTCGTCTGGAGTCGGAGGGGACTGACCGCGCACAACAACAATGCCCGGGGTTGACGTGACGCCATGCAGCCCACCCCCCGAGCCCCGGAAACTCCGTCGGAACAATGTTGTGGCAGCAGCAAATCACCCAGTGAGCCTTTTGCGTCGTGACGGCCGATACGCTCTGTATCGATTAATTTTTCGCCCGGCTCCCAATATCAGGTGTGAGGTGAGGAGTTGCACAAACCGGCGTGAAACGCCCCCGCGTCGCCCTGCTACCGGCGCCGCCCGCCCAGACTGCCATTCAGCACTCGCCGGTATAATTCGGCCATTGCGCGCGCCCGGGCGAGTTCTATAGCCCATGTAAGGGCGGCTGCTGCAGGCCCTGCAGGGCGCGCCGGGGCTGCACTGTGTCACGGCCAGGGCGGGTAGGGCGGCGGGGCCGTATCCATCCTCTTTAACACAGGCGCAGACCTTGCAGGCAGGGGCGCCTCTACCCCCCCCCCCCCCCCTTGGCCGCGGTCCGGGGGGCTGAGAGCAGGGCCTGGGGTGACCCCTGCCCGCAGGAGGCCTCGGGGATGGCATCTTGACAGCAATTAATGTTTTAGCTTACGCGGGCCGCCCGTCTCCCGCCTACTAAATTACCTTTCCCCTGACCACGCGCGGCGGCGGGCGCTCCAAGGGTGAGGGGCGGCTCGTTTTTGCCCGCGCCCCGCCGTGCCCCCGCCTGCGCCTGGCTCGGGTGGGTGTCCCGCCCCGGCCCGGCCCGGCTAGCTGGATGTCCTGCTCCTGCCCCCGCCTGCTCGCCCGGTAATAGTGGTGCGGTTAGCCTCTATCTGCTTGCGGTGCCGGACCTGGCCAGGCTGCCCTAATTGCTCCGCGCTTCGCTCGGAGTACACTCCAGCTCCCGCTCCCGCTCCCAGCTCCCGCTCCCAGCTCCCGCGCTCCCAGCTCCAGCCTCCAGCTCCAACTCCCCGCTCGGCGGGCGGGGTGGCTCCTGGTAGCGGCCGAGCTGGGCATCGGGTCTGGGGGGAGGGTCAGCGGAACCACCGCAGGCCCCTGCCGGCCCTCGCACTTAGCAACTTTCAAATGCCATAAACCTGAGCCCCCGTGCATACTGTCAACCTGCTGGTTCGGGCTAACGCAGTTGAAGGTGCGGGTAACCGCCCACGGCCAGAGCGAGGGGACACGTCATGTGAGCCATTTGAGGTCCGATGAATTTGCAGTTTTGGGACCACGTCAGGGGGCGCGGAGTTGGGGGGGGGGGGGTTAAACAGCTCTGGAGTCGGAACCAGGTCAGAACCACCCTAAGCCACCTCTATCGA